CCTCTCCAGGTCCCTCTTGCAAATATCCAGATGTATTTCAAACTCCACAATCTCAAACCTTAGTCCACTAGCCTCATCAACCATATTCTATTAATTACCTTCTCTACAAGTTCCTTCTCTTTGTGCCTGTGAATTATTGTTGTTTGTTTTTGTTGTCATTATTTTTAGACAGATCTTGCTATATATGCTTGAACTTTCAATCCTCCTGCCTCAACTTCCAAAGTAGCTGGGATTATAGACTGGCATTACCAATTCCAGATCTTGGGTCTTTTTAGAAAATATGAAATCTATGCGAGGTGTGGTGGCACAAATCTCTACTCACAGCACTCAGGAGACAAGCACAGGTGGATCTCTGTGAGTTCAAGCCAATCTGGCCTACACAGCCAGGGCTATGTACACAGACCCTGTCTCAACATAAAAAACAAAAATATGAACTCTGGGGCTAGTGAGAAAGCTCAGTGGGTAAATGCTACCAAGCCTGGCAACCTGAATCCAGTCACTGGCTCCGTCTAATAGAAGAACTGACTCCTACAAATTGTTCCCTGGTCTCTCACATGCATCATGACATACGCATGAGCTCATACAGCCATGTGTGTACACTCGAAAATGCATACACACACAATAAATAAATTAAATAAATAAATGTAACTTCAAATTTTATCTTTGACTCTTTACATGTTTATGTGAAACTGAAGATTCCAATAAAGAACCATGGAGAGGATTTCAAGGGAAGAGGGTCAGAACACAGAAGACATGGAGGAGCAGAAGAATAATAAAACAGAGTTAATGGAGGATAGAAGGGCAGGGTAGAGCAATGATCATGGGGAAGGATAAGCACTAAGACCTTTGAAAATGCCATATGGAAACTTACTGCTGTAGATGCTTCCTAAAATATATAAATATTCATATGAAAAAATGATTTAAAAAAGTTATCCTATAACAGGAGAAAAATGCCTCTCTCCTAGACACAGGCTGTCAAATAAAAGGCCTATGGTTATATATGGGTTTATCTCTTTTTGTTGTTATTCAGTGGGGTCCCCTAGACCACCCCAAACTACAAGTTATTACCACCTATGGAGGTCTGAGTAAGAATGCATCCCATGGGTTCATATGCTTGATTACTTGGTACCCAGTTGGTGGAACTGTTTGGGAAGGATTGGGAGGTGTGGCTTTGTTGAAGAAGTTATGTTACTGGGGGGATGAAATTTCAGGTTTCAAAATACTCATGTCATTCCCAGTGTGTCTCTTTTCCTGCTTGTAGATCAAGATGTGAGCTCTCAGCTTGTTCCTGCCACCATGCCTTCACTCTAGCACCCTGAAAGTCCAAGCCCAGTTTCCATGGTCATGGTGATTGATTACAGCAATACAAAAGTACGCCACCACTGTTCTTCCCTTCCAGAACGTGGTGATAAGACCCTATTGCTGAAGACACCACATACTGAGTCAGAACATGGAGAAATCCAGGTGGTTCAGACCAGAAAGTGGCATCCTTCCTGACTATTCTCATAATCTGGAAAATTCTATACATACTGCCAGAGGAGAAAAGTTCATAGTCTTACTCAGCTGTGAACACGTGAAGCTGGGAGGGAATTGCGGTAGGAAAGATAGAAGAAGAAATTTGAGGAGAGAAAATGAGGGAGGATTTGGCCAAAACATTATCTGCATGTACTACATTCCCAAACAGAAAAAAAAAAAACATTTTAATTAAAGATTTGAAATCTTAGCCATAGTCAACTCTTGAGTCATAGCGCCGCTATTCACCCAATCCTATAAAAACTTTGAAAGCCTTCCCAGAGTTCCCCTATACCCATTTTTTCACTTCCTTATTCAGTCACAATTTATTTCTGACTTGCTAGAGATTGAACCCAGTCTTGGCCCCACATATGCTAGGTGAGCATTCTGCTACCGAACTACATCCCTGGTGCCCACAATTCTATTCAACAGGTTTTCAAAATACAGCATTATCCTCTTGTGAAACTTAAAATATTGATAAATACAGAATAAAACAAAAACATATCCATGCAAAGACTTGAAGACCGATGTGTGCATCAGCACTATTCATGAGAGGCAAGAACTAGAAACAATCAAAATGTTCATGTGTTGGCAACATACACGGGTGTACAATGTAACAGTGCTCAGCAATAAATAAATATGACCTGCTAATTCCTGCAAACTCTGAAGACTCTCAGAGCATCATGTCAAATTAAAAATCAAACACTATAGTGAAAGAAACATAATGGTTTCTACAGTTGAGAACAAGTAAAGAAGACTGTAAAGGGGGATAGGAAAAATTCTGGAAAAACAGAGATGTTATAAGATTATGATACAAAACTACACCTGTCAGAACTCAAATTGGACACTTAAAACCAGTGGCTAATTTAACATAAATTATCCCTCAATAAAGCTGGCCTTTAAAACTTAAGCTAAGCCTTCTAAAATGAGTCCTAGTTAAATAAGATTTTACCTACATTTCTTTTATAAATCTTAATTTACATTTTTGTAATGTAATTGTAGGATTAGATTTCTCATGAAACAATTTCCTAATACCAGGATATAATAACTAAATCCGGGGGAAATTTTTTAAGATTTATTTTTAATTATGTGCATGTGCATATGAGTTTGTGTGTGAGTGTGTGCTTGTGTGAATGCAGGAAGGTACCCCTGCAGTCCAGAAAAGGGTGTTTGATCCTCTGGGGATAGTTGTAGGCAGTTGTGAGCCACCTGAAGTAGGTGCTGAAAAGCAGTCTCTGGCCTTGCATGAGCAGTAACTACATGCTCCATCTGATGCACCATCTCTCTAGCCCCCTAAATTCTGTCTTATTTCCTGAATCCTTATCAAAGCACACATAGGCAGGCAAATTATTATCAGAATGGTATTGTGATTGTGATTATGTGAGTATATCTGTAATTCTACTTTCATGGAAATTTTATATATTCTCAAATGCAAAGGTTTATAAGGGGCTACAGAGATGGCTCAACCGTAACAGCATTTGCCACTGCAGAGCACCTGGGTTCAATTCCCCAGCACCCATATGTAACATGTACACATGGCTAACAACCATGTGTAACTCCAGTTCTTGGGTATCTGGTGCCTTCTGACCTTCAAGGGCACCAAGCATATATGTGGCACACTAACATACATGCAGGCAAAACACTCATACAAAAAATAAAATTAGTACATCTGTTTATTTAAGTAGCTTTAAAAATAGAGTTTTTAGGAACTCCCTGTATGGAAACATCAAACCCTAAAGGATGCTGGTCTTCCTTTAAGGTGCTGTGCCTCAGGGGAAGACTGGGACAAGGCCTTTCTCCTTAATTCCTTTATGCCTGAATAGTATTTTTTCCTTAATCACACTCTAACCCTATTATAAATAAACACAGTGTTTAAACAAAAGTGACTCCTAAAAATAATGTACAAATAAGCAGAATTACTGCCATAAAACTTTTAATTTATAGACAAATCAATCTCATATTATCTTCCTTCCTTCCTTGCTTGCTTCCTTCATTTTTTCCTTCCTTTGAGATATTCTCACTATAACCCAGGCTGGCCAGAAACTCAATGTGTAGTCCCACTTGGACCACATGTGTGCCACCATGCCTAGCCATGCCTTGTTCTGTCAGTCAAAGACACAAGCACGGATCTGCAGGGTGGCAGAGGTTTATAATCCCAGCACTTGGGAAGCTGAGGCAGAATGATTACCAAGAATTAGAGCCCAACCTGGATTACATACCGAGTTTCAGGTCAGTATCAGCTACAGAATGAGATGCTACCACTTAAAAAAGAAAAAAAAAAAAGTAACATTTACAGCCTGTCCCTTGAGAGCAGCTGTTAATCCTAAATTAGAGGCAAGTCTGAACTCTGGTTAAACCCACAAGCTCGCATACTAATGCACTTCTAGCACTCCACAGTTTCCAGAGTAAAGGACTGAGCTTGCCATGAGGCAGGAAGGCAAAGGCTAAGGGAAGTTGTTTCTGGTCACTTACTATTAGGTTCGAAAAAGCTGATCAATTCTGACAGCTCCCCCAGCTCACTGACTTGCTTTCAAAAAAAAAAAAAAAAAAAAAAAAAGAGGAATATTTCCAGGTCAGTGGAGTAAGTATCCCAAGATTAGTGGCCAGTGATTAATTTATCCTCTTAAGTGACCATAAATAATGGGGATTACATTGCTTTGACATTTCCCACTATCCATTCTCAGTTGCCACCAGATACCCAAAACCATCATGATGGATTAAGATGAAAGGACATTCTAATTTGATTAAAAATTACTTCCTACCAAACTTTTTTTCCAAAATTAATCTGCATCTTAAATAGCTCGGTATTTTTTTTCCAGTCAAAGACATTAAAAGAAAAAAAATCTACCATATAACAAATCATTACAGTGTTCACATAACAACTGACACTGAAAGCCTAATGTAGCTCATCTTAGCCACTGGTCTTTGCTTTCTCTCCGCAAAAACAGAAGCCCACAGCCCCTCTGTCTCTCAAACTCCTCAGAGGAAAATGCTTTACATTACTCTTCCTTTTCCCCACTTCCCAAAAGCACCAGACTTTATATTTACCAGTAAGAAAAACACACCTTAGTTCCTCTCAGCAAGCATACAGGCAGAGGAACATAAATCCTGCCATATGTCAATATTTGCCTTCATACAGACTTAGTAACTGATAAAAAAAAAAACGATATTGAAAGATAAAAACGATTACTGAAGGGAAAGACAGCATCATCACTTGGAAAATAAGGACAGGGGTAAATGGTGAGAAGGCTTTGTGGGTAATGGCCAAACCTAATGGCCTGAGTTCGGACCCTGGAAGTCCCACAGTGGATGGGGAGAACCAATTCTCACAGGATGTCCTTTGACCTCCACATGCACAAGGTAGCGTGTGCACACCCACACATATACACAAAAAAAATACATTTAATTTAAAAAAAAAAAAAAAAAAAAAAAAAAAAGCAAACGCTCTGGTTGCACAACTTCCGATTCCCTTCCATCCACCCCCTGCTTTGACTGGTTCTTCCTCCCGGGTCACTGTACTTCCAGCACCTTCAATTCAGCTATAGCCGCAGGAGAGCAACTCAGGACCCGAGTCCAAGAGATTACAACACAACTCGAGTCAACACACTTCGCCTGACGCCAGGTGCCCAGCCAAGGTGTTCAGTAAGTGGTGGGCATATCTTCCAGTAACTCCAAGGGCTCTTACTCTAGATCTGTTTGCCTCCCTGCTCACTATCTGACAGGAAACTAAATCAAAATTGAATGTTAGCCAGGCAGCCGGTTATTATCTCTGTTAGGACTGCTCCATTCTCAGCCAATGGTGCCACAAAATTACACCTTCTTCCTGGTCAAGTTTCAGTGCCTGCTTGTGCGGAGGCAAATGGTGTTTGATTTTTTTTTTTTTTTTTTTTTTGGTTTGTTTGCTTGTTTGTTTGGGCATTTTGTGTTTGGTTAAGTTTTGGTTTTGGCTTTGGTTTTATTTTTTTTAAGACAAGAGCCCTCCCAGGTCTGCCTAAAATAGAATTCTTGATTCCTGTTGTGCGGTGCTCCCTGGGAGGCATGTGCTCGCCCCTAAGCTCTACTGCTGGCCTCAGCTTTACTTCCCAGCCGTCTCAGGTTTCCACTGGAGTTTTGGGACACTGCAAATTTATGATCCTCTTACTTACAATCCTCCTGCCTCAGCCTCAGGGTTTTAGGATTTAGAGGTGTAAGCGACAATGCCCAGCCTCGTTTGCAGTTACCTGTGACATCACATCCTTAAATCTCTCTGCCCTTTACTAGTATTACATGTGGCAAAAAATTCAAGCCAGTGCCAGAAATGGTGGCACAGAAAAGGGAAACAGAGGCGGGCAGATTTCTGTGAGTTCAAGTCTAGCCTGGTCTACAAAGCAAGTTCTAGGACAGCCAAGGTTGTTACATAGATAAAACCTATCTCAAAACCCTAAAAGAAAAAAACTCAAGCCAGCTTTTCCCTGGCAACAGCTCCTCCTCATTCCCCCAGAGTCCCTGGTCCTACTAATGGCTCCTCTAGTCCTGCTGACATAATCTAGGGATACTAGTACATAATAAAATTGTGGGATCCTGTTCAAAAATTATTCAGTTTTACACATAACATTTGCATTTCTCTAAAAAAAGAAATGTTTTTGAAACAGGGTCTCACTATATAGCTTAAACTATGTAGATTAAGCTGGTTTTGAACTCACAGATATCAAACTGCTTCTACTTCCCAAATACTGGACTATAGGTGTATACCACCATGCCTGGCTAATTTTTTTAAAGGCACATACATATGGAACTAGAGAGATGGTTCAGTGGCTAACAGCAAGTACTACTACTGGAGAGGACTTGAGTTCAATTCCCAGCACCCACATTGGGTGGCTCACAACTTCCCATAACTCCAGCTCTAAGAGGATCACATTACATTGACCTTCGACATGGCCTGCACTCACGCACGCGCGTGCGCACACACACACACACACACACACACACACACATACACACACACCACATACAGATACACACATGCATACATACAAAGAGTTAAAAATTAAATCTAAAAAAAATCACATACCGATTTTTTTTATAGCACTATATCTTTTCAACAGACTATGGCCACTATTTAATTTGGAGACCACCAAACAATGTTCTAAACTCCTAGCTGGTTTGGTTTTAGGTTTGAGATGGTTTGGAGCAGGTTGAAAGTGTTTTTTGTTTGTGGTACCAGAAACTGAATACCAGGACCTCACTCATGTTGTCAAGTGTTCGACCAGTAAGCCCAGTCCCCAGCATGACACTCTAGTTGGGTGAGTTAAGTGGTTGGTTTTTTGCATACTCTTAGTCTTTGATTATTTATTTCCTACATGCACACAATGTATTCAAACTTAAACTGTGTGTTTGCGTATGTGCATGTGTGTGTGTAAGTGCAGGTATGTGTGTGCCAGAGCACACACATAGAGGGCAGAGGTTCATCTCTCCTACCTTGTTGCAGCATGGTCTCTCTTGTTTCTGCCGTGCCGCCCCCTCCAGACTAGCTGGCCCACAAGCTTCTGGGCAATTCTCCTGTCTCCATTTACTTTTGCCATAGAAGTTCTAGAATCCCAGGGGGAGCCGCTGCACCCAGCCCTTTATGCAGGCTCTGGGGATAACTCTAACTCGAGTCATCAGACTTGCTGCACTTGTAGCTGCACAGTCATCTCAGGAGCCACATTTCTCTAATTCCTCCTCACACTCAATACAGCATTCCCAGATTTCCCTCCGTCTACTCTAAGAGATGTCTTGTAACTATTCTACCTTTCCCATTTCCACTGCTTCCCTAAAATCTCACCCAGTTGCTTTTCAGTCATGGATTTTGTCAATTTAGGGCCCCTCCCATTTCCTTCTTCTGAAACCCAAGCCACCTTTTTAAAAATTTATCTTTATAAATTTTGTGTGTGTGTGTGTGTGTGTGCATGATGTGGAATTGCAATAGTTAGTTCTCTCCTTCCACCACATGAGGTTACCCGGATCAAATGCAGGCTGTCAGTTTTAGTGGCAAGCAACTTTACTGGCTGGGCCATCCCACTGGCCTCCAGCCACCTTTTCAGAACACTTTAGAGGCTCTAGCGAAGCCCTCAATAGCTCTCAGTGCCTGTCTATCAATATGCAAACAATGTAATATACATCAACAGTTTCTTTGTTCATGTTTTTGTTCTTTTTTAAACCTAAATTCTGAGATTGGGAAATTAGTTCAAAGCACTTGTCTGGTAAACACAGGCACTGGGCTTGGACCCCAAAACTAAAGTGGGGAATCACATACAAAAGAAAGAAAAAGAGAAAGGAAGCGAGGGAGTAAGGACGGAGGAAGGGAGGGAGGGAGGAAGGGAGGGAGGGAGGGAAAAAACCCACAAGAGAACTAAATCTATAATTTATTATCTACAATTTTGAAATTCTAAACTCAAAGTTTCTAAAACTGGTTTGGTGCTGGAAAGATAACTCAGTTATTGAGAGTTTACTGTTCTTGCAGAGGACCTGGGTTCAGTTTCCATTACCCATAGCTACACAGAATTTGGGGCCAGCTGGGCTACTTGAATTCTATTTTTTTAAAAAAGCACAAGAACCATGCACAAAACTCAAGTCCAAATGGATCAAAGACCTCAACATAAAGCCAGCCACACTGAACCTTATAGAAGAGAAAGTGGGAAGTACACTTGAATGTATTGGCACAGGGAATCACTTCCTAAATATAACCCCAGCAGCACAGACACTGAAAGAAACAATTAATAAATAGGTCCTCCTGAAACTGAAAAGCTTCTGTAAAGCAAAGAACATGGTCAACAAGACAAAACGACAGCCTACAGAATGGGAAAATATCTTCACTAACCCCACATCAGACAGAGGTCTGATCTCCAAAATATACAAAGAACTCAAGAAATTGGACACCAAAAGATCACATAATCCAATAAAAAAAAATGGAGTACAGATCTAAACAGAGAACTCTCAACAGAGAAATCTAAAATGGCTGAAAAACACTTAAGGAAATGTTCAACAACCTTAGTCATCAGAGAAATGAAAATCAAAACAACTCTGAGATTCCGTCTTACACCTGTAAGAATGGCCAAGATCAAAAACACTGATGACAACTTATGCTGGAGAGGTTGCGGGGAAAAGAGAACACTTCTGCATTGCTGGTGGGAATGCAAGCTGGTACAACTCCTTTGGATGTCAGTGTGGCGATTTCTCAGAAAATTAGGAAACAACCTTCCTCAAGACCCAGTAATACCACTTTTGGGTATATACCCAAAGGATGCTCAATCGTGCCACAAGGACATGTGCTCAACTGTGTTCATAGCAGCTTTGTTTGTCATAGCCAGAACCTGGAAACAACCTAAATGCCCCTCGACCGAAGAATGGATAAGGAAAATGTGGTACATTTACACAATGGAGTACTACACAGCAGAAAAAAATAACGACATCTTGAATTTTGCAGGAAAATGGATGGAGCTAGAAAACATTATTTTGAGTAAGGTAACCTAGACACAGAAAGACAATTATCACATGTACTCACTCATAGGTGGTTTTTAAACATAAAGCAAAGAAAACCAGCCTACAAACCACAATCCCAGAGAACTTAGACAACATTGCAGACACTAAGAGAGACTTACATAGATCTAACCTACATGGGAAGTAGAAAGAAAAAGACAAGATCTCCAGAGTAAATTGGGAGCATGGGGACCTTGGGGGAGGGTTGAAGGGGGGAGGGGAGAGACAGGGTGAGGTGCAGAGAAAAATGTAGAGCTCAAAAATGTCAATAGAAAAAAAAAGCGCAAGAGCCAGGCATGGTGGTCCACTCCTTTAATCCCGGCACTTGGAAGACAGAAACAGATGGATTTCTGTGAGTTTTAGGATAGTTTGGTCTACAGAGCAAGTTCTAAGACAGCAAGGACTAAATAGAAGACCCTGTCTCTAAAAAATTATATATGTGTGTGTGTGTGTGTGTGTGTGTGTGTGTATAATAAAATATATAAAATAAAATATAATAAAATTAGTTCCTTTACCAGTTCCAACCTATTGCACAATGAACGATTCTCCAGAAGGAGACAAAACATAATTCTTAAATGTTTTATTAAAGTTCCATGGATTCGTCATTTACGCAGTCCTGCAGGACAGCTTTCCATTAGAGCGAGTTCACCATCATAAACAGCCAAAGGGCTGGGCGGACAACAGTAACTCTTTACACCATTTGTACAGAAATAATTAACTCTGTGGACCACCCTTCTTCATACAATCAGTGACAGATGTGAATCCTTCCAGATGCTGTCATTAGAAATCCCACATGAAGTTTAAGTAAAAGGCAAAAGTAAATAAAAATAATATACCAGATGAAAAGGTTTTCACTGTTAAAACCATTGCCTGGGGCTGAGAGCAGATAGCTCAGTGGTGGAGATGGGAGCCAGAAGCACCCTCTACCCCATGAGTTCAATCCACAGCAGGAAGAAAAGAGTCCTGACTCAGCTAGGCATTAATTCTTATCTTTTCAGAAAACTCGGTATTCAAGAGTGGTTTTTCTTTCCATCGTTCTTTATTCTTTGTTGTTGAGACAGGGTTTCTTTGTGTAGACCAGGCTGGCCTTCAACTCACAGAGATTCACCTCCCAAGTGCTGGGATTAAGGTGTGTTCCAGCACTA